TGATTATTTAGTGCTGACAGCTAAGGATGTGCTGCCAGAAATATTTTGATTCTTTCTAAAACATCCAGTGTTTCCTTCCTTCCTTAACAGTCTCGGTACTATTACACTTAACTTTAGACAGGTTTTAAAAATCAAGCATGAATACTGTTGCCAAAAACCTTATTAAGAAAGGTTGGCAGTCTTCTCACTTAGGGGAAAGACTAATAAATAATAAAATAGTTTACAAAAGAAAAAGTGGTATCCAGATAAACCAGGAAGGTTCTGAAATCAGGAAATACCTAGCTGTAAAACTTGTAAGTGTTAAGTAAGTTAAACAAGGGTGAGAGAGTGAGCAAGACTTTGTTTGTCTATTTTTACATATTCATCTGTGAACCAAAATTTAAATACCCTCGAAAACAAATCCTATTATGAACATTGGGTATGACCACTACCACTTCACTCACTTGTTGAAATGAATCTCAATAGTCTTAAATACAAAGTCATAACACACCGTCAAACATTAAAAGTCAGAGGATCAACGTATCAATATATTATTCCTTTTAACACTAACCTTGGCACACACCTGGCAAACCTAGTCTTCCCTCTGTTGCAACTAGAAGCCTATCTAGAGACAGGCTGCAAAGCCTTGGTCAACCTTAGCACCTGCCAGTCATTCGAAGGCAAACATACTGCCTTTCTTGAAGACTTTTTAACACCAAGAATCAAGGAAATACTGTGATTTCTGTAGTTGTTTTTTTTTTTTTTTTTTTTTAAAGTTGGTGTTGAAGTTACAGTAAAGAAAAATCATTATGTATGCAAATAGCATTTATTAAGTATAACATTAACTATTTCAGTTTTCTATTTTAATTTCTAATAAACTCATCCAGTTAACATGAAACTTGTGTATCAACATGGGTGAGGCTGATATGCTTCACTTGTTTAGTTTGGGCAGAAACAGTTCTATTACTGATTTTTGGTTTTGATTATAGATCTGTTCTCAACTGAGAAAAGCTTTTCTTATGGTTACATTTTCTAATGCTTCTGATTTGGCAATCTTGCAAAGCAAGAAGGAACATGAACTGAACTTTTTTTTTCTTCAAAGATGTATGTTTAGTGTTGTATGAGTTAATTTGTGGTTCTCCTGCTTGGTCTTGCACCTAAATGTGCAATCTGCCCTCCCCCCCTTCTGTCAGCTGGGACAACATTAGAGCTTTCTACAAACTGGCTTAACTCACTTTAGTTTTATATATATATATATATATATATATATATATATATTTATGTATGTATGTATGTATGTATATGCCTCCTTCATTTTTGCTGTGTTACATGCTTCTTTGATGGAGCATGATCACAAAAATATGAAACATGTCTATGAAATACAAAATGCATTTTGAATTATAAGCACAATTCAGTAGTAACCTGTTGACAATACAAGATAAAACTTCCTGAAGGAAGTTATTAAATTGCATCTCAGACAAATTGCCCATACAGGAATCATGATATACCTGCTAAGGCTACATTTTTTATTTTTTTTTTTAATAGTTCTTTCTAACTGAGGGCTGTGTCTAACAGTTTTCATTATCGCATCTGCTGGCTCATCCCTCAGGATTCTCTCCGCTCCCCCTTACCCTTTTTAGGGGTTGGAAGAGACCTCAAGAGATCATCAGGTCCAACTCCCTGCCAAAGCAAGTTCCCTAGAGCAGGCTGCCCAGGTAAGCGTCCAAATGGGCCTGGAAAATCTCCAGAGAAGGAGACTCAACAACCGCCCTAGGAGCCTGTTCCAGTGCTCCATCACCCTCACTGTGAAGTTCTTTCTCATGTTGGTGCAGAACTTCCTGTGATCCATTTTTTGACCATTGACCCTTGTCCTATCCCCACAAACCACTGAGAAGAGGTTGGCCAAATCCCTCTGTCTCCCACACATAAGATATTTGTAAACATTGATGAGATCCCCTCTCAGTCTTCTCTTCTCAAGGCTGACATTCACATTCTCTTACACTGACAATTTTCAAGTTTAAAACTAGGTGTTTAAAACCCTTGTGATTTTCAGTAAGAAAACACAATAGAATCATAGGTCAAAGACCAGTTCTCTCCAAACTTTAGGAGGGCATTATCCTTAACTATCAGCTGCATCTTGCAAGAACTACTGTTTTATAAGCACAAAATTGTATACTACGGCAGTTGTTGTGAATAAACTTTAGTATATGAATAACATTCCATTTTAGTATCAGTTTACAGCTCACTGAGACTCCAAAAAGTTAAACCATGAGAGAATTAACAGATCTGTTACTATCAGATTATATATTCATGGCAAAGGAAAAGAACCAGAGTCCAAGACAGTATCACCAATTATTCCCTTGAAATATCTGTGCTCATCAGTTAAAGACATTTGATATTTCACAACCATACCAGAGAGACAATCTACAGATATGCTGTTGTATCAAGACAGTATGCCCACAAACTGATGAGATGTGTGGGAAAGATTTTTTTTTTTCTCTTGCAATAACATCTATGATATCTGTTATCTTATAAATCAGAGAAAAGCAAGGAAATGATTCGACTATGACTTGTTTTCTATAGAATATGAAGAATTCTAAAAGAAGATTCTGAATTGAATCCTTGGAAGACAGGCATTACACATTTAAGCAATGTTTTGTACTGAAAGAGTGTGCTATGATGGATAATCTAAGAGAGAGGCCACTTCTGCAAAATCCAAGAGAGCAGATTAGTGCAGACACAGGTGCTGAAAGGATGAAGTGAAAGTCAATGACTCTAGTGCAGATATTCAAAACAATGGGGCATGTAACTCTGACAGATGTTGGAATGAAAAGACTATAGTGGACATTTAATCAGGAAAGGCTTTGCTGCCTTTTTTTTTTTTAATGCTTTAGGTACATCATATTGAAGACAATTGGGTTCATTAACCCAGAGAATGCAACTCTGAATAACAAATACTTCTCCAAATCCAGATTTTCCAAAACAATTTGTAGTTTTCCCTACTACTTGCCTCATGTTACTTATTTGCACAATAATCTATTAAAGATGTCTATACCAGCCACAATTTTATTTTAAAAAGTAAGACTCAATCCTAAATATAAGATCCACTTACAACCACCTTGTGAAACTGTTTTAGTAACACCAAACTGGAAAGAGCACCTTAATGTCACATCCTCATCCTGCATTTTAGTTCAATTCCAATTCTGTTCTACCGTGGGTTCAATCAGGCTACTCACATGGACAGGACAATGCAATTTGTTTGCATCTTGTAAAAGCCGTTTTCATTAGAACTCTACATTGGAAGACAGTAATGTCTAAGCAGCTCAAATAATGCAGAGATGTGCTCCCTGTAAGCAGAGAATATCTTCCTATAGCTGTTACTGTAGCTAGCTTTGTCAGGTACACTATTAACAACTATGAACTATTTAAGCCTAGAAACATCAAGAAATTCATCAGGTGTCTCCATATCCTACCAAAAAGCTACATAACCTTAACATAAATTTATGGTATGTTGCTATAACCAAAACATGTAAGCACAGTACAAAGAAAATGTTTAGATTAATACCTCATAAAGTTTTGTAAGATATCAACACTTCACTAAGTATATACTTGTGAAAGAGGATTGATTTCTTCAATTAATGAAAAAGGCACCCAAATGGCTTAAATAGGGCTAAACCATTTATTCTAAAAACGCACCTCTTGATTACATCAAGAGAGGGCAAATAACCAATTTTTCTTGCAGTGGATCAATTGAAACCAGTACCTTAATAATTAAGTATGCCTTATCTTTTATTTAAGAGACCTTAGGAAAAAAGCTTCCCCACTCCCTCACAAGAAAAAACAGTTAATGACCTACCAGCAATCCACCTACATTTTTACATCTGTTTTCACAGGTCAGTCTAAGCTAAACCTCTCAAAACAAAACAAAGATAGCCACAACAGATCTCCCAAATACCACACTTTAAGATACTTTTTCTCTAGCTCTGGAACCTTGTTCAGATTCTGCTCTACATTTTCTTAAACATCCTTTCTGTAAGTCACGTATGAAAAAATGAAGAGAACCACTACTAGCTGAACACTGGAAAAAAAAATAAGAATTATATAGAAATAACAAGTCTTTGCTTTTAATCTGTTAGTTATATATTTGAGGATTATAACCTGTTCCCTTTTTCTCCCTAAACATCCAGTACTGGAAGTCAATTTTCATCCATCACATTACCAAATCTCTTTCAGAGCCAGAACTTTACATAAATACTTTATACCCATTATACAAGCCATTCCATAAGTAAAGTCCTAATCAGTAGCTTCTCTTTCCCTACTGAGTCAGAATGAATGCACGAATACTCAGTATCACCCACCTTTTGCAGTCCGTACACTATATGCAATCTTTTATTTGATGAATTACTGAAACACAGCAAATTATTGCCAAATGAAAAAGGTTATTTTTTCCTAATATACTGAATTTCAGCTTCATAAAGCACTCTTCTGCAACAAACAGAACAATTCATGAAAAGAAATCGCTTGATCCGGCTCTTGAAATTGAACCAGAGGGTGATGACAGTGCAGAAACAGAGCGACATCCGTGCAGGCAGACGCGCCGCGAAAGTGCTAAAACCAAAGACAGTCAGCCACCGTCACCAGTTAAATAAACGCACGGTGCTCTCTTTGTTCCGTTTGTAAGGCGGCTGCATTACTCAGGAACCCAAGAAGTTCACAAGAAGCCAGCCTCCTCTCGCCCTGAAAGCTGAACTTCCACCGACCACGGGAACTCGCTCAGCGCAGCCCTTCGTTCGCACCCCCAGCGGCGGCCGCTCCCGCAGCCCGAGCCTCCCCCGTGCCCCCGGCGCGACGCCCGGCCTCGCGCTCCCCGTCTCAGCCCGGTCGCACCGCCGGCAGCGCTCCCCGCGGGCAGGCGACGCCGCACGCCGGGCCCCGGCAGCACCGGCGCCGCGCGGCCGCCGCAGCGCTCCCGGAGCCGCGGGGCGGAGCCTGGCGGCGGGAGCGGCGGAGCCCGCGCTCACCTTGTCCGAGTCCAGGTCGGGGTCGGCCTGGCACAGACGGAAGAGGAAGGACTTGGGGTCCCTGCAGAGCGTCTGCCGAGTGGTCAGGAAGCAGGTGCCTCCCACGTTCAGCCGGACCCACTTGCCCGGCACGGCGCCGGGGGGCGGCGCCGAGCTGCACCGGCGGCAGGGCCCGCCCGGGCCTCCCAGGCCGCCGGCCGGGGTGCCCGGGAACTCGCAGTGGTTCTCCGCCGCCATCCTCGCCGCCGCCGCCGGAAGGGCCCGCCCCAGCCACGGGCCCGCGGGCGCACCGCCCACCGGAAGGGCCCCGCGCGAGGCGTTTCCCCGCCTCCTCGCCCGGCGCCTGCGCCGCGCGGGCCGCAGGCTCGGCCGCCCGAGCGGCTCCCAGGCGGGCAGACGGCGGCGCCCGCCCCCCACGCGGCGCTGCGGAAGGAGGAGGCGGAGGCCGGCCAGGACCCTACATGCCTTTATTACAGACTACCAAGCATAAGTGAAATCCATCATCCGGTCACTAGCTACACATCTACAGCACGGAGATCTGTCGGAAGGAGAATAAGCAGTTATTAAATTATGAGATATGATTAAATCATCGACCAATAGAAAATTTATATAATAAAGCCAGAAAAAAGGTGTAAAATATAGTTTACAATAATTATTCACATTCAAGGCTGTACATCAATACATACAACACCATGGCCCCGAACATGAATTCAATCCAAATAACTCATATATTAGAATTTAAATAACACAGACTGAACTAGAGGCCAACAAAAGCCAGCAAATAACCTTATAAGAATAAAAATACAAAAAGTGTGTATCATATCATTGCATTATTTGCTTCTGTTTTAATAAGTTCTTGGAGGAGAGGGGTTGCTGGGGGGAGGGGGGGGTGTTTGTGTTTTTTTTTTTTCCTTTATCTGTACATCACAGTTACAGCTACAAACCAGGTAGAGAATAGTACACACAACTGACTGCCACCAACCTGAAGAACAGCTAGCATACAACTATCAAAACAGATTATGGTTCCTGATTCCTATTTTTTTTTTCTTTTTGTCAGATACAGTAATTGTAAACTCTGCCACAATTTAGAACATATGCCACATTCAATCAGAGTTAGTACAAGGTCTTAGGAAGCTTTGTAAATGGCAACCATTACATTCACTGCCACACCAACAGATAGACCAACTTAATGGGTGGTTAAGAACTTCTTGAATTGTTTGCTAAATAAAAGGTTGTATTACTTTTTAAAAGAGGGAAACAAATTCCTGAATTCCTGTCTTAACTGAAAAGATGCTAAACTGGAATGGAGAATTACTGTAAACCCATTTGATCAACCAACACAATCTGTATCATGAAGCTTTGCAGGAGCACTTCCCCTTCACTAATAAAATACTTGTGTGAATTATTACAGGCATTCAGCAAAACTTCAGATATAAATACCACACCTATTCATGTATTTCCGTAGCAGAAAAGTTATCACAATCCACACACTATCTTTAGGTAACTATGCCACACAAGTGATTTCTTCAACAGCTTGCTGAATTTTATTTATTTATTTATTTATTGTCCACGGGCCAACTTAAGCAATTATGTTGACTTTACTAAATCATTCCTACATGTAAATTCAATAATTAAAAAAAAAACAACTTTACAGAACCCTGGGGATTTTCAACACAATGTAATGATTTCAAAGATATTAAATCAAGCATCTCATCCTATGAAACTAGATTGGAATTATCACATCGTTGTTTCAACCTACATTTTTTTCCTGGAATTATAGATAGCAGATGCTTCACAATTAAATCATGCTAGACAGAGAAAAATAAGTGGAGCACAGTACTATCTGGTATCTTGATGCATTCTGCATCTAGCACTTAACAAATGAGATACTAATAGCTGGTATCAGTCTGCTCACAATGTTTCAATATAACATCTGAGGCAAGACTTTGTTAACATAAATCCTTCTAAAAAAACAGGCTATAAGGCCAATCCTAATAAAGCCATCTCTCCAGTTTATCAAAGTAATTTTCAACATTCTGTAATTGGGCAGGACACTGAATAGAATAGCATAATTCAAAATTCCTTTCTAGCAGTGGTACTTCAGACTTAAACACCATACAATGGAAAACAGAATAAACACCTTCCTGAATTTCAAATCCCAATCAAAAGAAATTACGCTCCTCACCAGAATCTTTATAATTGACTGGTAGTCATTAAAAACACAAGGGACAGAACCTAAACAAATTTGTTTTTTAGTAGGTTTGTAGCAAGGAGTCAAGAAGGGTCTTTGAATGACCAGCTCTGAAAGACCTTGGATAAAGAGCAGTGAAAGCAACTGGCTTATTTGCAGCTCTGAAGAATCTCCTTTGAAAATTTCATTCCATGAACTCCCACAAACCATAGGAGTAATCTTCAAGATAAAGATTTGAAGCTATCTTGCTATATACATCTAGAACAGGAAACAGCCCTTCGTAATACGCAGCACCTTCCAACATGCATTTAAGTGGACAAATTGGTAAAGTATACTTAAATCCACAATTGCTTTTTTTCCTTTCAAAACCACAGATTTTACTTAAAGTATAAGAGAGACAAATACCAATTCCAGAAATTTTCTGGTCCCCTCCCCCAAAAAGCAGCAGCTAAGGAATACTTGATTTGGAACACAGAAGTTCTGAGGGGTGGGTTTCCTCTAAGAGCCTCGGTTTTCTAATGACAGCCTTGTCAAAAGAAAAATGGAATGCTGGAATACAGGCATCAGTCTTACAGATTGACTTTTACAGCTTACTGTTACCAATATTTCTTTGGCTGAAATGTTTTAGTAGGCAGGAATGAAAGACACTGATGTAAGATTTTCAAGATGTGAAAAAGAATTATTTTTTTTTGAATGGCAAGATGACTGCACATTTAATTGGTATAGAATGTGTGTTTAAGCATTCCTAGATTTCCACCCAGTCAGGTAAAGAAGCCAATGGAGATCATTAGCTCCTACAGAAGCTAAGGAATTTGCTATTAGCAGAACAACTTCTGTGAGAGTTTTTTGTTTTTGTTTTTATAAACAAATAAAAGGCTAAGTTTTGTTATAAAAACCAGCAGCAGCATCATGAAGCTCCATCACTGCCAGACTCCATTTGTTTGAAGTTAGGAACACGTCTACATCTCTATACTAAAGACTAAATCCAAAAGCTTACAGTTGCCTCAAGTGGACCCAACATACAGCTGGAATTTGACAGCTACAGAGTGACTGGGTACCACTGCAAACTCACAATTACCATCTTACTTAAGATAGCTAATATAGAATTAATTACAGGCACAAGTGGAAGGCATAATACTATGCTATTCAAATCTCAGTGACAAGGAGTGTACCTTCTATATGGTGAAATTCCTCATGCAAAGGGAACAGTGTTCTGTTTTTGTCTTCTCAGTCAGCTGCAGGACACCTTAGTTCCCTTAACACCATACACTGTAAGCTACTGATTTAATTTTGTCATGCATGGATATGTAATGGGGTAATAGAAGACTGTAAGAATATAGTTCCTACAAAAGAAAAGGCAACTGCACTCTCTCCTATAAAACCTAAAAAATGCTGGAAGAACTGAACTCTCAAGTTCAACCACATAATACTATTTTTTTTGTTGCCTTTTTTTTTTTTTTTAAAGAGCAATGATAAATCTCCCTCACCCAGTACATCAACAATAAATCAACAATAATGAAAATACATGAATATTGGTGTTTTTATGAGACAGTTTGATAAGCCACTGCTTTTAAAACACTGCTTTCAGAACAGTAGCTCATTAGTTTTTTCAGCATTACAGTGGAACATTTCTTTCCTTGATAGAAGAAAAAGCACATCATAGAGACCCTCAACATACAAAAAGATGCTATGTGTAGAAGGTGAATAAATAGGTGTGATGTTTATACCACTTTCAAAACAAAGAAGAAATGCCTTTGTCCAGATCTAGGTCATGCCTCTCTGCAAGGTTCAGGAACACAGGTATGTTGAAAACAGGGAAGTTGTTTTTAGCACATAAAGTTAAGTCTTTGTAACATTGCAAGAAATGTTTGACCACAAAAAAAAAGCATTAATTTGAAAAGGATGAAAGACTGATATGAAAAAATATTTTCGTTTTATAGATATGCCTCAAGTACCATGTATTTTCCCCATTGTATCAACATTTTGTTGAATTTTTAACCAGATTACAGTATGGATCTAATGTTTAAATGGCTTAGTTTATGTATGTATTTTTTGGAGTTGCTAAAAGTTCTGAAATACTTGGCCAAAGACCAAAAATAAGATTTGTACACCTCATTATACAAAGAAACAAACAAACAAAATAATCAGTTGTACAAAGCTTTCACACTTCCTTCTCTATCCAGGTAAATAGGTTGGCCCCGCTAAAATGCACAAAACATGCACACCCTGCAAAGAAAGCTTCTAGCTCTCATCCCCTGGAAAGGAGAAAAACTATTTACTACTTCAATAATAACATTGTTGTTTTTTCCTCCATACTAACTAATTTATTTTTTTTTAGTTAGTATTAGTTAAAAGCATGCTGTTAAGTTTATTGTCTCTTGATTAAGCACACATGATTCATATTAAAATTTAAACTGAATGTTTAAAACTTTATATGCTTCAGAAGCCAACATTTCAATTTAAGAAAATTTTCAGTGCCATGTTCAGCATTTTACTCTCACAACCTCTATCATTGGAGCCTGTCTGCCGGACACACACATCTGATTCATTCACATAATTATTTAAGTACCACATAAATCCTGCAACCAGAACTATATTAAGAATTACACAAGGGTGCAACTGACCTGGCTACAAATGCCATACACCAATAAGCTCAGGGACTGTGAGGAAAGGAAAAGAAAAGAGGTGGTGCTTAGGAGAGGCATATAAAAGCTCCCTGATGAAATATAGATCAAATGATAATGTGAAAGTCACAGAAAACTCTAGCCCCATAAAATGTAACGCTGGTACATGACTTGGGGCATGTGCGTGTGGATTGGTTTTAACTCATCTTAAATGTAGCTGGTAATACAAGGTCTATCCACTAGTCTGCTGCAGAAATTGAGCTGAAGGGCACAAAAGCAAGATCTTCACTGCAATGATACGCATGTGGAAGCCTCAACAGAAGCACAAAGAGCGAGCAAAGCGACCCTGAATTCCATTCGGTTTTAGCCTTTTTTTTTCCTTTTTCTTTTTTTTTTTTTAAAAAAAAAAAACAAAAAAAAAAAACAGAACATTTAGACATATGCTTCCCCTTGAGATGGTAATAGATGGGTTGGAAAGATTCCTCTGATAGGCTGCACGTCGAGTTCTAGCAGCATGAAGGAAAACTGGGAAATTTTGGATGAGCTTTACTATTTTGCAGCATTCTGGTGATATCTGTGCCGCCACACTTCATGTATCTTTTTGCACCATTTATGAGCATTTCCACTTGGGTCCATCAGGTAGTATGTCCTGTTTGGCTGTAAGTAAAAACGTTTTAACGAGTATTCCAAGCACAGTTAAACCAAACATAGGTAATTATTCAACAGCAAAAAAAATTCAGAATCAGCTTTCAAACTTTCCAAAATTTAATTACATTATTATTCTACTGAATATCTATTCTCAGTATTAAGCTAAGCAGTCAAATCAACAGACAATATACACTGTTGGCACACTCCTTGCAAACTGCTGTAGAGAAACAGGGCAGGCTTCAAAAGTCCTTCTTAAGAACTTCTTTGAGAAAACAACGTCCACATATTTTACTTATGCTTGAATTATAAAAAATAGTTGTATTTTTTGTATTTTTGCCGGAAGATGCCATGTCAGTTTCGTTTTGAAGTTATATCTATTAACCTATGCTAACAAGTAATCCTGCAATCAACACCTGTATTTATGAAACTGTATTTTCTCCAAACAAAATTTGTTTGGAGAACTTACAATATTGTCCAAAATTTACAATAATTGTCCAAGAACCTTAGCACAACTTGCAAAGAAATTAAATAAAGTAACTTACTGTGTGAACAAAAAATGTCTTAAAATTCTTGGCTTCTGGACGTAGCTCCAAAGACCACGGTATTTCTCCTTTTAGAACTTTGTTGACAGGATCTACGTAATACAGGTGGGGCCCTTCTGTGAGGAGCAATTGGCGTCGACGTGCAAACAATCCCTAATGGGAAAAGTAAAAACAGCAACACAAAAAAAGCATAAAGAGAAGAGGTAAAACTGTGCATCTCTGATTTTAACAACAGAGGCAGAATTAAAACAGCTCAGTGAGAGGAAAATATGTTTGAGTTTAGGGCAGTTTGTTTTCTTTTTGCTTCATTTAATTGACCTCACTCCTTTTTGGGGAGGTTGCAGTGCATCCATAATACGTGCCAGAAGTACTATTTTAAGAACTCATCTTTGAGTTCTATCAAAACAAAACAACTAACTGTAAAGAGTAAAGCAGAATTTATTTGTCAAATATGCTGGCACACAAATCTATTGTCACGATTTTCTGGAGAAAATTAGGAACAAACAGGTAAGAACTTGTATGAAAGTCAACCTATATTCCTATATAGCTGACAAAGACTATTGAAGCTCCTCTGTACTATGTTAAAGTTATCTATTATAGCAGTTCTAATGCCACCTCTACCTCTCTTAGGATGTAGAACTAGTCAGACTGAGGAAACATAACACTGCTGAGGACAGTATGAGTTTGTATTCTATTTTCCAATATTAATGGCTCAATCCACATACAGATATGCATCAAGACCAAGTATTTAATCGACTGTATCAGATTGGTAGGAAGAGGTTGTACAAAAGCTTGTTTACTACAGTCTTCTCAAGGCGAAGCATCAACAGAATATTTACTTTTAGCCTTTTCAAAAAAATAAGACCACAAAATTAAAAAAAAATATTCACAGGAAAACATCACATCTTAAAAAACAAACAAAACAACGTGACACTTACAAATAGCTTAGACAAGTAAGTTCTAAAACAGGTTCCTTATCTTCATTACGAATGTGTAAAAGCATGACAACTGAATCCTGTTACAGGAAATTAAGAAAACCCCTTACCTTTCTTTTGTCCACTGGGCCCATTTTTAGAATTAAGTTATTTTCTACAAACTGATGCCTTGAAAAACAAAACAATAGGGAAAAAAACACTATTACCTCAGATATAACTCTTCCACATAACAATGGCAGTAAGAACTGTTTACTATTACTAAGCAATTTTCCATCTCCTTCTAGTATCTTTTCCTCCAAAGAGTCCTGAATATCTCTACTAGGTGAATTTTGGCCTCTTCCTCATTTTACACCAAACAGGTACGTTTTTAGTTGTTCTTGTTTTTTTGTTTTGTTCTGTTTTTGTTGTTTTTAAGCTGTCCTTTAAAAAAATCACAAACAAGCAACTCTTATCAAGAATGAAGAGAAATGCTAATGAATGCATAGCCTGGACATATTTTAGTTATAAATGGAATATTATAATTAAAAAAAAAAAAAAAACTTATGCCAGCTGTAAGAAAGAAAAAACATCTTCTAGTTCTAAAACTCTGTAGAGGGAAGAATTCTTTACACTGTACCATTTCTCTTCCTATACCCACACCATCTTTTAGACCTTAACTTTAAAAACTTTTTTTTCTTTGCTGCTGTTGCTTTAAAAAAGAGATTAGGAAAAACCTAGTCAGTATTAGTTTCTTTAAAGATATTAAGACTGACAATTATTAATTTGAATAAAAAATTATTTTTCTAGATTCCTCACTTCAATGCAAGTAACAAATGAGCTATTTTCACAGATCTTACCAAGGATTTCCACCAGCTTGTTTTGCCAGAAGTAACCTCTTTTCATCTTCAGAAAACTGTAAATCCAACTCAAAGGAATTGTTGTCAAGATCATGAATATACTGTTCAATATTGCCTCCTGATGTCTGTGGGGTACTCGTCTCTGGGGCAGACAGTGAATGGGAAGAGGCAGAACCAGAAACTTGCATGCAACCAAACTGACTGAGGAGATTGTCATACTAAAAGGAGGAAAAAAAAAAAAGTAAAAAAAAGTAAGAGTTGCTTGTTTATTTAAAAAGCTTATTTTGCTCTGAATAACTAGTGTTACTTTTAACTTAAGCATGCTTTGGCTTTTGCGCAAAAAAAGCAGACTACTCTCTACAAATTAACTGGCATATCTCAAAAGAATTATGCTTAGTCAAAAGCAAACTTTTTTTTAAGAAAAACACTCCATCAGAAAAAAATGTTGACTAGATCAAATTTTATCCAGAAATTGTTTATTAGATTCTTAATAGTTAAGTCTTCATTAAAATATAACCAACCAGTAGCTTCAATGAAAGTACTTGATATACAATAATTTTGTTTTAATGAAAGTCTAGGCAGCATCAGAGCTGAATATAGCTATAGCTAAACATACATTTCCATAACAGTCTTCATCATCCTCTGACATGGCAGGTAGGTATGCTGTAAGTTTTGGGGGTGTCTGAAGATGTAGGTTCTCCCACACAATAGATTCAAAGAAGGGGTGAGCCTTAAGAGGTCCATATCCTCCCATTTCTTCACAGCCTAATCTTTTGGTAGCATCTAGAACCTGAACAGGTTACAATGAAGTTAGCATGCATAAATTAATGACAAGAAAGGGGCAAGCACCATTCACATTTGCACAGCAATATGCAAAAACTTAATTGGTCAGCCTTACTCTTCTAGGCACATACAAGGAGACTGCTTATCATAAAATCACAGAATGGCTGAGGTTGAAAGGGACTCTGAAGATAATCTAGTCCAAACCCCCTGCCAAGCAGAATCACCTAGAGCACATTGGCATCCAGAAAGGTTTTGAATACCTCCAGCGAAGATGACTCCGCAACCTCTCTGGGCAACCTGTTCCTGTGCTCTGTCACCCTCACAGTAAAGTGCCCTGTCATGAGGAACTTCCCCTCACAGAAACTTCCCGTGTTTTCAGTCTGTGCCCAGTGCCTCTCTGTTGCTGGGCACAACTGAAAAGTCTGGTTCCACCTTCTTGACACACCTTCTACCCACCAACCCACCCTTGTAATACAAGGTGTTATTTTTCAGTGTGGCTTGTTAGCACAATTTAGTATTCGATCAGCTCACATAGCTAGAGAAATAAGCACTTCTTTGGATACACAGATTTTTTTTTGCTTCATTTCTTTATAAAGATGGAAACAAAACCAAGCAAACCCACAGAGGCTGCATGATGGAGCACAGCTCATTTAAATATAGTCCCACATCATACTGTGAGTGATGCAAGACAGCTGTAAAAGCTATAGTTGGTGCCAAACACCAACCTCAAGCACCCTAAAACAGCACAGATCTCAGGATGTTGACACATCCTGGACCTTACCACTCAGAGAACGCTGGCTTGACCACAGAGCTATTAGGCCCTTTTATAATGGTTGCACTCACCACCATTCACAAACATAATATACAAAATTTTCTCCTTAATAAAGCTAGACCATCCAACTTCAAGAAGCTTACACCATGCAAAATGTTCTCTACATATTCACTGCACATTCATGTGCAGAATAAATCTTTTGCTGATACTATTATTAGACATGCATTAACTGCCCTAAAATGAAGGATAAATTGATTTATATCAATTTATTTAAGGAATACATCTTTATATTTAAGGAATACATCTTTCTATGATGTACAGAACATCCTTTATAACTAAATGATATATTATACAACTCAAAAATTAACTCAAGTACTATGCAAGCACAAGTGTTTGAATCCTGTGTTACGCATAGTTTTTAGAAATATTTGCTTCCACTTGACAGAGACGTTCCTTGCCCATGTTTTATAATTCAGATAAATCAGTGCTGTTTAATAATGGATGTTGACTTTCAAGATACTCTCATATACAATTAATAGTTCAGAGTTGTTCTTATTACAAGGTTCATGGTAGAATAGATAGAAACTTTAGGAAAACAGAACTACATTAAAAAGCTGAATGTTTCCAATGTCATCAAATCATTCAACAGCAGTAAATATTTACCAATAGCTTTTCTACAAGGTCTTTTGCCTTGGGAAAAAATTTTTCAGGAAAGTCGTATTCCAACTTTATTATCTTCTGGAATATCAGATACTCATTCCTGCAAAAGAGAAAAATATTAGCTAGTTATTAGCTCTCCATGGTTCTTTTACCTTAACAGTGCATAATCTGGACAAATACTAAATTTGAGAAACACAAGCTCTAAGTCAAGTTCCCGTAAATCCTTCTATAGTGTACTTAAGGGAAAGCAGTTACTTATAAGCATCTGTGATCCTGTAAGCATGAAATACTTGAACAGTAACAGGGAAAGGTCAAATGCCTCAACATAGAGGTGAAAGAAACCTTCATGGAGGCATAGTTACCTTACAGTATAAACTACATTTGAAGTCCTAGGATAAATCAAATAACCTCTCTCAGGACTTCTAGTTAGTCTTAGCATCTTCATGATTTCAACAAGGAAACGAACTAGATTATACAAATAAAAGCAGGCATAACAACACTAAAAGTGCACCATGAAAATCTGTACTTCAGAACTGATAGTAAAGTAAAACCCAATGCAAGTAAATGTATTTATAATCCACATGTAAAGAACTAGTAGCATAAGTCTTACCCAGCTCTGAATGGAGGCAATCCAGCTACAAGCTGATATATTATACATCCCAGAGCCCAGAGGTCAGAGCTTCAAAAAAAAAAAAAAGGAAAAAACCTTAGCATGCTTTTCTATAAATTTGTAAAACATAAATAAAATTTCTTAAATTCCTGCTAGTTAGAACACATCACAAATATGTCAGACAAGCCTGTTAGTGTGATTTCCACACTATTCACTTTATTCCTTGTCTGGAGAATAGGCCTGCAACACTACTTCTGAAAGCATACAGTAACCATCCCCCTACAACTGACTACAAGCACATGTGCAAGACAGCTGAATTTTCAGTTGACATAATAGGTAAATAAGACTAAAAAGACGTCTTATTAACCACTACCACAATTCCAAGACAAATCCAACTTAATGCAAAATATGCTCCTCCAGAATTAGAATTATTTCCTCTAAATATTTAATGGAAAAAATCATCACCATAGCACTTTTTCACCAAAAGCTTTCTTTCAGACACAAAGAAAAAATGCAGGCTATATGGTACAAAGGAGAGAAAAAGTTTTAACATGTTGTCCTGAAAGAGTATGTTTAAACTTACTTTACCTCAGAGTACTTTATACATAGATTTGGCAAGGCTTAGAAATCCTCATATAAGACTAAAATTCTAAAGGCAGCTCAGACCTGATCAAATTAGGAATTTTATGTAGAGGTATTACGGAAATTCTAAAGGGGGATGATAGCCTGATGAAGTCTTTACATTATCCAAACCAGCCCAAACATTTTTACTAGAAGCAGAACTGAAAGGGCTGGTGGCATTTATATAAATTCAAAAAATGACAGCTGAAATTACCACAGGAGAGTTATTCACAAAATAGAGATTTTTTTTCCCCTATATTTTGTCAGTGATTACTTTGAGTGATTATTCTTCCATCACTGTAATAAAATAGATACACAACAATCTGTAGGTTACTATCAATAACCTATAAGAAATTTCATACAGGAATCTCATTTAAGTATGTTACTCATACCAGGCACAGAAATGATCTTTAAACCGTTGCAAACCCCAAGCAGAGCTTAGTAATAATACTGCAAGCTGATCCAAATACAACTCAAAGCAAGCTGCAACCTTTCCCCTAACTGACAGAATAACATTCTGTTGCTTTTATTTCAGGAGTAACCATAATAGAGCCATCTTACACAAAATAAGAATTCAGAATGATTTTATTTCTATAATAGAGAAAGATATTTATGGGGAAGAGGAATCCAACTGCTCACCACAAACTACCTTCTCCTAACAATGGTAAATTCTGTTTGTAGAAGGTAAGATAAACTGATGAAACTAGCACTCAGACAAGAAGCAATACTTGCTAAGAAAAAGTCAAACTCTTAAGCTTTATGCTCGAGTATCCTGCTTCTTAGAAATACTAAGATACATCCTCTCACTCCCTGCATTCCATTTGATAGCATCTGACAGAATCCATAGATTTCTAAAATACAGTAGTCTTCACCTTTTACAGGCAGATTTCTCTGTCAGCAGCTCTGGAGAAACATACTGTGCTGTCCCTACAAATGAATTTGCCCGTGCTGTGAAGAAAATTGAAAGAGGTAAGTAAATACATACTTCTGAAGAAACCAACCCCCTCCCACACCATCCAAAAACACACAGGAATTTCATTTCTCTACCCATTCACAAAACCTGATCAGAGGAGACAAATTGCTTTAATCTCAGTGATATCTATTTGGTTCAAGAAGCTAGGCATTTAACACAAATTCTACCAACGCAAGCTTAGTAAATCTGAGTAAAAAAGTTCATTTATCAAATTTAGTGAATGAAAATCAGTTCAGCCCAGTGCATTTTTCAGATATAGTTTGCAGCATCACATTCACAGGTTAACACTAAGCAACTAGTGGCATAAAAGTTCAATGATCTACATTTAAGCAACTCTGATAGTCGGTGGGGGATTAAATACAACATGCACAGAATAACAGCTTACTGTTTCAGCTGAGACAAACTATCTGTTTGTATTCTTGTCTTACAGAAGAAAAGTAATTTCAAGTACTTAAACTTCTCATTGAGAACAGTCCACCTGGTATTTGGCAATCTAGCTGGCTTTACCACTATACCAAATACTACGTCTTCTGCCATAATCAAAGTAGAGAATCAAAACTGTTTCAATATATTTCAGTATTTTTTTCTTACATAAGAGCTAATGATATCTAAAAGTTACAATTTGATAAATACAATATACTTGTATTTTCAAAGGCCCACTTATCTATATAACTACGGCAGTCGGACTTGATCTTTGTAGTTCCCTTCTAACTGTACTATTCTCTACTACATAATGTGACAAATTAAATATGGTATACCTTGTCTGCTGTCAGCAGATAATACTTTTGCTGTTCCAAAGTCTGTTATTTGAATGTGCATATCTTCATTTAGCAAGATGTTCTCTGGTTTAAGATCCCTAGAAAAGGCAGATTTTTGTACATAAACAGCACAAAAATTAGTATTGCAAAATGGTCTGGTGTTTTGCATGCACGTTATCATAAATGATGCAGACATTCTGTAAACAATGTTGTGTTAAGTTTTCCTTGACTTGCAGCTGTCAACATGCAGACTGCTGCTAACAGATTTTGGAAAGTGCATTCATTAACATTTTTCCTAAAAAGATGAAGTAATTAATAGTTGACCACAAAACTAGGTTATTGTATACCTCACTTTTTGAGCAAAATGAAGCGAATATCAATTCCCAAGCCATAATTTAGGTAGTTTTAGGTAGTATCTGACATGTTGATATGGCAATAATATCTTTTAGGCCTGCTTATTCACAGCAGAAAACTTCAGTTAGTCAAACAATGGTGCATCCGGCCCCTATAGATTCTATTCTCAACTATTTCACAGAAAAGAATACTTAGTATTTTTCTAATAACTGAAAAAAGTTAGATCAGTCAGCTTTTTGCCAACTATCATTTACCATGAACAACTGCTTTGGTATCTACAGACAGAATAGATTTCTTCCCCAAAACAAATTCTGTAGCTCAGACTTCTCATTCTTATTTGAATATTGCACCAAAAACAGCTTTTATTTGTTTAAAAACATTCATGACAAAACATGTTTACCCAGACAATATCAGTACATCAGAAACACTGCAAAGGTTCTATTAAAAACTCTGGTAAATTTCAACGTTTATGTAATTCTCATTCAACTTTGTGGAATTTGTTCACTCCGCCAAAACTGAATTTTACTTTTCTTGTTGGTGTGCTGCATGCAGATTCACGCACCAGCAGAATTCTAGCTGTTTTGGTACATAACACGACAAGGGAAAAAAAAGTTAGCGAAAATGCCGGTCTGTTTTTAGCCTAATGATTGATCTCAAGACAGACAAGCTTTTGGGAATGTAAGTTCTAGATCATGAAGCTCTCTTACTTTTTCCGAATTGTCTAATAACAGATTGTCTCTCCTCATGAAGTTTGCACTATTTAGTTCCCTGTGTTATGTTAATAGTACTATTACTAATGAAATGCTATTGTGTTATTAGCTTCCCACAAAATCCGTATTCCATTTACACTTCATGAAGAACATTCCTTGTGCATAATCAAAAGCATTTCGATCTTGACTTTCCATATTACCTGTGAATAATTCCTTTCCCATGCAAATACTCCAGGGCTGATACAATTTCAGCAGTATAAAACCTGGTACAGGTCTCATCAAATGAGCCAATTTTGCGTATATACTTTAGCAGCTCGCCATTTTTGGCATAGCTAAGCCCAAAATCTGAATGTAAGAAGTTAAGGTCTACCATTAAAACTTTTTTAAAACAAAATTCCCCAGACCTCATTCCAAAAACAAGAATAATATCAAAAAGACATCAACAAAACGGTAGAAGTTGGTTAATGTGAAACTTTACATGGCAGCAACCCAAAACTATGTCTAATTAAATGTATTAAAAACCTAGCATACAGGTTCCAGTTTCTTAGCATTGCAAAGACTACAAAGGGGATTCAATTTGTGATCTTTCACCTGAAAAATTGTTTCCAACTGTATATGTAAGTGCTTACATAAACATCCATTTACATTAATAATGAACATAAGTTTAAAATTGTGCCATCATCTGGAAAGGTACAAAAATATCAGTCCAATGTACAATGAGCAAATATTTATAATATAAAGACAGCCCTTTAAGTTCTGTTAGTGCATGCGTGCACACACACACAGCCTGTTAGCATTGTTAGCAGCCTGTTTAAAAAAAAAAACTACTTACTGACCCCAGAAATGAACTGATCTATCCTTTTACCCTTGGCACAGCCACTTCCAAACAGGATGTTTAGGAGGAAATTCACATTACTGAAAATTTCTTCACAGCAAAAGAAAAAAGCTGATTGCAAAGCAATGAGCTTTGAAGATGAAGCTGCACTTTGCTAGAGGAAACTGATGAAGCAGCGGCCCAAATCGAAGATTTTCCTTTCTTTTCCTCATTTAGATTATTCTGTATAAATTGTTATATAGAAGTGCTTACCAAATCTAATTGTATGAGTGAAAAATAAATGTAGCTGGCTACTCCTATTTTAAACACAGGAACTGTGGTATTTTACTCTATATATCAGAAGTAAAACATTTCTCAAACACTTTTTTTTTTATTATTTTTTTTAGAAGTGCAAGTCACCTTTCAGCATTTACCACATGGAGAATAGAAGTTATTGTTTTACTCCATTCTCCTGTCTCCCACGTCATTCCCTCTTCTTTGAGGGGGCACATTCATTCCATTTACTTAATTTTAAATAAAAGCATTACTGAAAAAAAATTGCATCACAAACAACTAAGACATTTTAAATAACTTAGGTTTATTTCATCATTCCCGTCAAACAATGTTTCAAAGGAACCAAAACTGCAGATTGTTATTTTTAAGAAAATATAACAGAAAGTTTTAGAACCTAAAGGATACATAGCTTTTCATCATCTTGAAAGGTGAAGTAGAGTTTCACAAAAAAAGGGTGATCCAGGCGGGACATTACATCTCTCTCTCGTGTCACATATGGCACCTTGTTTTCTTTTATGATATGACGTTTTTCTAGAATTTTAACTTAATGAAGAGTGAAAACACAGGAAGATACAAAAAATGAAGTCCATTTAAATAGTCAGTGGTTTGGTTGCCATTTTTTCTTGTTAAGATAAAATTATCACAAAAACACTAGTTTTATCCCATCTTTTTAACAGATGTTTTGTAAAAGGCCCACATTCATGAAGTATTTTTAAAAAGCTGTGTTTAAGGAATCAGTACTTACTGGCGTATTCTCTAGAACTTGCCAATTCTCGAGCCAAGACAACCTGTTGGCACAGAAGAGAGAATATAATATAACTATTTATTAAAGACATATGGTAACATTGTTTTTGATCTTTCAGTAGGTAGTTTATTTTGGACAAGTAGTATTCTAAGTATCACAAACACAATCAGCAAAAGATTTAAGCATGTGTTCATAGTACACTGGCTCCCTAGTCCCTAAACAAAACCAGTTATACTGAGTACTGCATACACACCTAATACCAAATGTCATACATTTAAAAAGTAAAGTTCCAAATAAGGTCCTTCTTCAGGTCAATTAATTTTTTTCATGGTGACAGGAGAAGTGCACGTAAGTTGCACTCTTTCATCATTAGAAAATAGAAATCTCAGTGTGGTGGTAAGAAACAACTGAAAAAAGTGCAACATCTACAAATACACTGAAGTTCACATTATTTAATCAATGGACATTTCTACTAGAAACAGCCAGTCTATTACAAGCTGTGTCCTTACCAAAGGATTTTTTTAAACCCTTCCGTGTACACAGACAATATTATTTAAAGCTGTGCAATAAGATGAGAATGTTCATAACTTTTCTAATTTTTGTTGCCAGGTTTCATCAAGTCTACTATTAAAGTTACTGAAAGCAGTAACTTAAAGTTCATTATTTAATAAATACCCAGATACATAGTGCTGACTTTCTGCATTATAGAAATTGATGTGCTCACATGGACCAATACCTTCCTCACTGCAACCTCCTCTCAGGTAGTTATAGAGAGTGATGAGGTCTCCCCTCAGCCTCCTTTTCTCCAGCCTAAACAATCCCAGCTCCCTCAGCTGCTCCTCAAGACTCTTGTTCTCTAGTCCCTTCACCAGCTTCATTGCTCTTCTCTGCACCCGCTCACGCAAGTCAATTTCCTTCTTGTAGAGAGGGGCCCAAAACTGAACACAGTGTTCAAGGTGCAGTCTCACTGGAGCATACAGAGGGACAATCACTTCCCTAGTCCTGCTGGCCACGCTAGTTCTGATGCAGGCAGGATGCCATTGGCCTTCTTGGATACCTGAGCACACTGCTGGCTCATGTTCAGCCAGCTGTCGACCAGCACCCACAGGTCCCTTTCTGCCAGAAAACCTCCCAGCCACTCTTTTCTCAGCCTGTAGCATTGCACAGGGTTGTTGTGACCCAAGAACAGGACCTGGCACTTAGCCTTGTTGAATGTCATACTATTGGACTCAGCCTATCTATCTAGCCTATCCATTTCCCACTGCAGAGCCTTTCTACCCTCAAGATCAACAGTCCCACCTAACAGTCTCATCTGCAGACTTATCGACACAGGTGAAAACACATCTTGGCTAATAATCCAAACCTGTATTAACCTGTGTAACACCAAAGACTAACTATTTTAGTCCTGTACTGTATCTTTTTTTTTTTTTACCATGTTTCAGATAAATTACCCACGTATGTACATTCATACTGAGCAGCTGTGTACAGCAGATTGCTTATTTTCCTCCTAGCTTGAATCATCACGTTCCTTTAGGTCCCCTCCTTATTGAACACATCTGAGTAAATCATATATCCTCTTTTTCTCCTAAACAACAATTCCACAAAAACAGCAGAATCACAAGAAAAAAATGCCACAGTGATGTATATTAGTATTACGTCTGTACTATCATGGGCATCATCCACAGTATGAGAAGATGTAACACCAGGGAATATAAACTTTATAAAGTGGAATTATACCAGATAGGTAGCTAAAACAAAAAATATTCACAGAACATGCAACCGTGTAAGTGACAAATTCAAGCAGCAAGGGAAAAATTGTAGTTAAACCCTTCAAATGGGAGTTTCTTTCAGCAAGGGAAGAAGAGCAGAGAGCCCTCAGAGGCTACGAAGTAGAACCATTTGCCAACATAATTGGCAGACATAATGGTGAAGCCATTAAACTCTTAAGCTTGAACAAATGCTTGAGTCTGCCAGAGATTAAGTCTATGTTTAACAACTGGTTTTGACTGGACACTTTCACCAGTCCTACCTGAGGTCCTGATGATTATGGTGACCAAAATTCTGCTTGTAAAACTCAAAACAATAATGCTACATACGGATTAACATTTCCATGGTATGCAGTCTCTCGTGATGCCCACCTAAGTTCATTTGAGTGACTTAGGCCTGACTCAGGACCAAAAAAAAAACAAAAAAACTACCACTGAACAGGTAGCAGAATGCTGGAACAGAAGTTTATTTGGAGTTTGGGCCTTATGTATTTCTCTGTTTACCAGGAACACAGTGCTAAACTCCAGAGAAGAGAAGCAGAAATTAAAGTGTCTTACTGAAGCAGACTGTCACTAAGTATTCCAACAAGACGCAACAACTCTATTGGATTCTTTAAGGAAACCTGCAAATTCCAAACTATGCAATTAAGTGCAAATTACTCGACAACTACTATACAATAACTATGGCTCATGAAGTCCTTGAAGGCCATGATACTAAAGACTGAAAAAGAATACCAGAAAAATATCACTGTTTTTACATTCTTCCCTAAGCATCTGGCACTGGGTCCCATCACAAACAAGATATTGGGTAGAAGTTCTTACCATGACCAACTCCAAGCCCAGTTCCAATCCTTCATGGAATAAAATTTTAACATAACTCATTAAGCATCAAAAACTTACATTAGAAAGCACTGTCTCTTAAAAACAAGAGTCATCAGGATACAGTGGAACTTCTGATGAGTTAAAAAGGTACTTACTTAAAGCTCAGCACTGTATTCAGTGCAAGACTTAATATTAGTTCTTAACATTTAAACAACTACACTCTGCTCATTTACTCTTTTAAGTTGTTTTCTCCAGATTTAAATCTTCCTAATATTTTCTGCGCAACAAATTTTGAAGTTTTTCCTATTTTTGCAGACTGTAAGCAGCTTTTTTTTTTTAAATAAAAAATAAGGTTACCGTTGAAAAAGATCCTTCACCCAGAATTTTCCCAAATTTGAAGTCATCAGGTCGTTTCTTTCGAGGCTGTGGAGGCTGCTGTCCGGTATGCTGCTGCAAGGAGTTTGAACTAGATCTTGATTCAGCTGCAGTGCTCTCCATGTTTGATCCCTGTCTGCTGCCACAGGTGGAAATGACAGATGGAGTGCTGGAATCTGCTTGGCTCCTCACCATTGATGGGGATGGACAGGAGCATAACACCACACTAGACTGGATTGGAACAGCATCATACTGAAAAGCGAAAAGAAACTGTTATCCCCATCCCTTCAAATAGTTATCCCACACATCTGGGCTCTCTTTCCATTCCTTCCTATTTGAACGGACTATCATGAAGATGTCTTTAGGAAGGAATCTAAGTGTTTATATTGGAGATGGCGGCTCTTAAACAGACGCTGTTTACATCATGCTGCATACGTACATATAGCTATAAATCAAAAGTCTGAAAGTTTTAATTCACAAATGGCAGTTTTTCAGACTCAAGAAGTCCTCTCCAACACTAAGGAGTCAAATATCAAGGTACATTCTCCTACAGATAACATTATCATTAAGGTTTATTTCACAGCTATGCCTCTAACCATCTTAACAAGCGATAGTTTTCCCGAAACTTAAAAAAAGTTACATAGCTCTGCATTAACACTTATATTCACTATTAACATTAGAGGTGAAAAATAAATCACAAAAACTTTTAGACAAAAGGATACATTTCTACATACACAGATTACAATTACATGTTTTTAGTTGGAACCTCACTTTTTCTAACAGTATTCTCTCTAACAGACATTGGAGGGAGAGGACACCAACAAGATACATACAAAGGGCAGGTCAGCTGGATGATTCTAGTATCAGCAATATTTATTTATTTTTTAAAGAACGCACTGGTCTGATCTTTTATGACAAAGGATTTTACAGTATTTAATCTCATAAAGACATCCCGATTCCAAAACAAAGAACCAGACACAGCAAATATAGGAACAGACACCCCAAATACCAATTCTTATAATATACAAAGGAAGTCTTCATTTGGTACCTTTTCATCAATTTTTCTCATGTAAAACCAAGCAAACCAGTCAAGCTGGTTCCCCTCCCTGTTCCTAATACACCTCCATTAGTCTGTCAAACTCTGCTTCAAATGTTTCACTTGAAACTGACCAGAAAACACAGACAAGGGGAGAGCTCTGCTGAAGCTCCTCTGACAATAAAAACTGAAATGCAATGCAGACAGAATACTTGAGAATATTAACACTGTAGATGAGCATGGGTTTTTAATCTTAGCATTCTAACATACAGTCAGCAGAATGAAACAAAGACAGATGAAGTCTCCTAACCTCAAAACAGCTTACACAATCCTGACCTAGTCTGTGACATACCTCATCTTGATATTCAAATACACATTACTTCCAACAAAAATAGCATCTAATGAGTTACAGTTTGATTCAGAACAATGTCCTGCATTCCTATCAAAACTCACTTTAGAAGGGAACTGGACATATGTTCAATTACATATTTAGGCTTAAGGCACCTAGATCCAAAAATTAACACTTATTATACTTGTTTGTGCTCTACATAGTATAGTAAGGCAGCAGAAACACAATTTATCCATTCAGTGGCATTACAGAGATATACAAACATATTTCTACACTCGTAAAGGTATACTTTGTAAATTCAGATTAAGGTAACAAAGTCAAAAATAATACAGGTAAAATTCTCATTTTTTTCCCACTTTCAATTAAATAGATATCAATTACTGTAAGTTTGAAAAGTATAATTAAAGTATTAAACAACTGTTGTATACATAATCCCTGGAAGAAGCATTCTCTTTCCAATCTGAATATAGCCTACTTGCACCAAGCACTCTACTGCTCCTTAGGGCTTTTTCTAAGGAGTGCAGCCAACTGATAGAGCAGGAGGTCAGAAACAGGTAGTAGCTTCCTTTATTAGACCTTGTCTGAACCTTGTGATATAACAGTCTGACAAGAAATATGCCTATAATGATAACTACTTGCAATATTTTGTACAGCTTTTTTTTTGTACAGCTTTTGTGAGGACAAAAGGATGTAAAGTTTGGGTGAAGATTTGGAGGCTGACAGGAGAAGAAATTTGTTTTTTGAAAGTTCACTAACTCCCTCCAAGAACAGCGTATGTCCCTGCTCAGAATTCGTTATACAGCATTCTCATCTTTGAAGAGAAGTACGTTGATGCTATTATTATGAAAAAACAGCGCGCACAGACGAAGGATACATGCAGTAGGGCGCTATTCCTGTTACACCTTCTTTGCAGATATTTGAGTTGACACTTTCCCCAGATTGTCGCAGAATCAATGGTCACAAGTTATTTTCCCCTCATATTCTTATAGCCCAGCTGAACCACATTACCTTCAGACATCTACTCAAAGGACAGCTTGTATAAAGATACACAGTAGCTACAATTAAAACCAGATTGCACTGTTCTCCACAAAGACTGCAGCAACAGCCGAGCACAAGAATAACTGACTGCTCAACTGCTGAAGTGATGCAAATATAATAAGTGTCCCATTAATTGAAATGTAGTAAATAGACTGTAATGTTAAGATTTAAATGATGAACTTACTCCAGTCAGGCTACCCATGAGCAACAAATGGTATACAGGTAAACAAAGAAATAGCACTGTGGAGTATCTGATTGGATTTTGCAGCTACCAGGATTGCCTTGATGGAAAACAAAAAAACAACACAAAAGCACCAGAGAGCATGGAAAGAAAGCAGAGGAAAAAAAGGTATTGGATGCAGTTAATTTCATATACTGTACAAGTAAATAAAATCACAATGAGTATCACATATAGAAAAGTACTATCCTTAAAGGAAAAAGAAAGACAGGAATAAGGGATGTTGTAGGAAGATAAGGTTATTTCCAGCCAAAGTATAGCACCAATTAGACAAAACTAGTTAGTCAAAACATCAGCTAGTCACCTTCTCAAAGAAAAGTCAAGATTAAGAAAAATGAACAGACAAAGATGCAGAAGATTTAAAATACCAGTTACCTAGAAAGTGACAGAACTATACGAATATGTATGCTGCACCTGAACATTTACAGAAAACATCACTCCTACACTCATCTTGCTACAGTCTGCATGTTTTTATATAGTATTTCATGTCCTGAATTGTTTATCTTCTTGTTTTTGTTTTTAAGAGATTCCAAAAAAGCATGTCTAGAGAGACTGTTTCTACGTCTCCATGTATATCAGAAATAGAACAGAGGCCATCTCATCAAGTCTAACCTCATATAGCCTCATTTTTTATTTTATTTATTTATTTTACAAAAATCAGGTTTAAGACTACTTCTGCTAAGTCCAACCATTTTAGCGAGTCAGTTACTGAATAATTGAAAAAACTTCTATGCTGCATCTACAGAAGCTTGAAGATGCTCTCTTTCCAGCAACTATCAACATTTCTCAACTAGCAAGTCAATGAAAGCACAGACCCTCACACAGTGACAACACACTCGTGTCCCTTACCTATTGCACAACATGGATTTCCATGGACCACGCTACCACACTGATAACCACTGTTCAAATCATTCTGTATCTGTTTTTAAGAATTGGTCTCTAACACTACCTTCTTCCCAAGCTCTTAAGGGTGCTGTTTCGAGTTTACCTCCATATAGAAATTCTTTGCTTCTTTGTACAACATATATTGAAAACCTAACAAGAAAGAACAGAAGTCCGTGGAATCTAACAGGAAATAGGATCCTGCCACTAATACTGGACAAGCATTAGAGAATAAATCAAAAACTACTTTCAGGAGAAAAGTCAAGAAACTGAACCCCTGAAGAAGCATCTAATCCTCTGACTAGACTGAGCTCCTGTAATTAGTCCTGTCTATTAGTCTTTGCCCTTTGGTATCAGAGCACCCAGGACTCTAAAAACTAGGATGACCTGCAATTCAACAGAAGTCATACTGCATATAAAAATTACTGAGTACTGTATGTAATGAGCATTAGGCTAAATCAAGATAAGAAGTTCAGAGACAATTAGGAATACAAATCAATAACAACATGTATGCCCTACATCAGGGAAATCTGTTTCATCAATGATCTAATTCAGAAAGTAACATAGCAGCACCCTAGGATGCCTACACATTTAATCTTTTCACTTGCAATAGAGCTTGAGAGGTTTTTAAAACAGATACTGCATGATACAGCACAAGATATTCTCCCCATTTGTCACAGTACCTCTTCCAACCCTTGCTTTTACATCTCTGCCAAACAGTCCTCTGATACAGAAAGATCTTCCAAGTTCTATGAATCTAAGATTCAACGTCCAAGTTAATACACTTGTCTTCCAGTAAAAATATGGAGCCCATCTATTTATCTGTGCGATTAAGGAGGGATAAAGGCCTTTACTTCACATTAAGAGAAAGTAATTGTTTTAAGTGGACAACTGTTTTGTAGTTCTAGAGATAATGTGACTTGCTGCTATTTATACTGTGATTCTGCTAAAGACAGTTTACATTAGATAGGCTTTACATTAACAGGCAGTTATATTTATTACATTTTCATGGCACACTGGTGTTTCAGAAGATTGAGAAAAGATAAAACAACTGCATGAAACATAGATCTTGTATATGAAAAATAGAGTAAGAAGGGGCAATCAAGAGATATTATACACAACTTTCCCATTGGTGTGCTGTCAAACTGCAGTGAACATAGTTCTTGTCCATTGTATCCCAACGTCTATTTATTTTCGGGACCTGTCTAAAAATCGAGTTGGATTTTCTGCTACACAGCCTACAGTACTCTCTGTTAATCCATTTTACATGTGAGTGCATGTGAGAAATGATATACTGAATAACTAATGAAACTCCATAACATATAGTTTATATATGCTTAAATGCTTGTAAATTTAAATAATTTTAGAATAGATGTATTTGTCAACACTTATTACCTTCAATACTTTCAGATTCTAAAAAACAAATAAACAAATGCCAAAGGCAATATATACAAGTCCTGGCTAAACTTGACATAACATAATGCTGCAACAACCTATGAGAATTTGATTTGTAAAATTTTCTTCACAGACATTTACTTGTATTACTGTGAAGCACAAGGAGGTTTTTTGTTTGTTTTAAAAAAGCTCTAATGAGCAGGTTTTTGCTTTGTGTTTTCAATGAATCTTGGAAAATGCAAGTCCTATATTCATAGCAGTCAAGAAGATTAATCATGAAGAATCAAATTCATTTTTTGGATATACATTCTGAA